TGACCTCTGCGATACTAGTACAGCGCTCTACCAATTGAGCTAACAAGCAACTGAGAGCAGGCCGTTAAGTTGATTCCTAATAAACCCGTGATGATAAATCAGATACGATGAATATATGAAGTTCATATATTCATCGTATAAATAGCGCTGTCTACTGCGAGGATCTTGCATCATATGTAAATTTGATAATGTTCTCGATACCAGAACGGCTGAATAAGCAGGACAAGTCGTCAAATAGAATAATTTATTTCAAGCTCAACACAGAACAAAACCAAGATAGCCACTGCAGGAAAAAAAGAGTACCGAAGCCCGCGGTCCTCAGTGGTAAAACCACCTTTGAAAGGGCGGAAAAACGAGTGACATTTGAACAAATCCTTACGTAAATCAGCCAACATAAAGAGTCTATAAAGCTGATGTTTCAAACGTCAGCCCTTCGTCAGAGTGAACAGAGGGATTGTGGGTTGTTGTCACTCTGACGAAGGGATAACGCTCTTTATTACATCCATTATGAAATCCCTGGTTTTCCCTGTAATCTGATTGGCTCTAATTGGTGCGATTAATTCACGAATCGCACCATTTTTTGCTCTAAGTCGCATCATTTTACGCTTGACTGAGTTCTTGAACATGACGTCAAAGTCTTTCTGTTTTGCATACAAAATAAGATGTAAAAGCATTTCCGGTTCCGCTTTTTATTTAAAAACCGGCTCACTACAGCATCAATAAATTATTTGAATTGACCAAGTCCTGTATTTGGGCGATTTCAAAAGGGATGTGATAAAGTGGTAACTGAACCTCGTGTCGTTCAATTTTGGTCTTAAATCATACTTGTGATTTTGAAATCACGCATATGATTTCCGCCCAACTTGCTAGACACGAGGTTCAATTGCCATTATAAACGTCAGCTTTAAAAACTTATTTCGGTCACGTGGCCAATTTACATTATCAACTCAGTTTATAAAACCAAATCATCTAGTAACAACCATTACCGACGCAGGACCGCAGTTTCCTCAGAAACTTACCTCATTCACAAGGCAGAAAGGGACGCAAACAAAATCCGAGATAGCTAATTTTGTCTCATTCTATCAACAAACTACAATTCAAGAGGCAAGACGGCGAATATACTGAGAAAATAGATCATTTTGGTGAAGGTACGTTTTTTATTGGGGGGGGGGTTGGGTCGGGGTATTTTAGAAATTTTTTGCCAAAAAGGTCGTGGCCCTCCCACTTTCCAGATTGGGTTAATGCATGACCCTTCATAAATGCCTAAACAAAAGGATCTGACCCTCCCCCCTCCTCCTCCAAGACAAAAATAACCGGAAGTGAAAATAAATGACCGGAAGTTTTGCTCCCATAACCGCGTCTGTGCACAAAGCAGTTAATAGGGACTTTTAGCACCGAAGGTTTTGTGGACGGCTACGGCCACCTAGATCGCGTGGGGACTGGGAATACCAGGCTCCGTCCGTGCTAGAGCCCGCGAAAATGAAAGTAGTTTAGCAATAACAACAGTTCGTGACTACGGCGTGAAACATACTGAAATAATGCTTCAAATTTCACTAGAAAAAACAAACAGAGAAACGTTTCAAATCCAATCAGGCTTTACACCAAATTTACAATAACTTATTCAGTCAAAGATTGCATGTGGCCATTGCTGCTATATATTTTTCTGTTTCATTTCTAACGGGAAGATTTTAAAAAAATTCTTTCAGGCAGTAGCCAGTAAAAGAATCGAATACACAAAAGCAGGATATCCTTCAATAAATTTAGTCATTTTCACGTCTAGCAGCGCATCTCAGCATCCTTAAATACTTATTTCGGTTTCATTTTGTTGTTTCTTGGAAATGAAAATCATCCGCAAGTGTTAGAAGAGATTATAAGCTTTTAAAATTTAACCCTTCCCATCCGTCTTTGTTGAATGAAATGATCATAAACTATAAAACTTGACGAGTAAAGAGCAAGATTTACCTATAACCCCAGTAATTAATTATGCTTTCAGTTTTTGCTCAATGAAAACAATAGCGATAACAATAGAACGACCTAACCAAACTTACTTGGGACGCTTTTCGAGGGACATATCAATACCTGTGGGAAAACGAATACGCCGCGCAAATGTTATAGAAATTCGGAAGGAAACTTGCCTAAACATATGATTTAAGGTTGGAAGTAGTTACGTTTCTCGATGCAAAGGCAAAAAACGATTGAAATGTTTAAAAAACACTCACCAAAAACTCCCGTAGTAGTAGTAGTAGTAGTAGTAGTAGTAGTAGTAGTAGTGAACTTTATTTATGTGTCGTGAAAACCTAGCGCATAGCAGTAATTGGGGAAACAGGGTAAAAGCTTTAAAAGTAAGAAATCTGGAACCTATTTACAGAATTTTTTACCTGACCTATTAACAGTTAAAATTATTTATCAATGTCCTAGAGTTAAATATTAACCATTACAGAGCGCACATTTTTTGCATCCATCATCAATCATGACAGTCATGTCTGTTCTCCTGATTTTGCTCTTAAATCCGTGTAGGCTGTCTTCACTGCGTAACTCTTTTGTAAGATTCGACCAGAGGAGAGGGCCATAGTATCTTATAGAGTGTTTACCATATTTTACTGTATTAAAGCGAGGGATTCTAAAATCTGCATTTCTTAGAGAATATCTTCTATCGCAGTTTACTTCTGACATAAATAGTTCCTGTATTTGACAAGGAAGTAAGTTCTTTTTTGCCTTGAACATAAGGATTGCTATGTCCTGGAGCCTTCTGTTCACCAGTGATGGAATTTCAGCCAGCTTCAGCAGGCCGTCATAAGAGAGTGATTTATCGTTGAAAACTGCTCTCAAGGCCCTTTCCTGTAGTCTTTCAGCTTTACGTTTGTCTGAGGCTCTGCAGAAATGCCAGATGATACTGCAGTAGGTCAAGTGAGGTAAAATGGCGGCTTTATAAAGTTGTAGTTTAGCGTAAGTGGGTATTAGTTTTCTTAGACGACTTAAAACTCCTATCTGTTGACTTGCCTTTTTACAGACTAAGGTAATATGCTCACTAAAATTTAGTTCAGAGTCCAGGATTACCCCCAACAGTTTGATAGATTTTGATTGTTCAATGTCAGTTCCATCTATATGCAGGTTTATACTATTTTTGGCCTCAGTTCCAGAACCCATAAGCATGGATTGATATTTCTGAACATTCACTTGTAGCAGGTTTTCTTTGTACCATTTAGTAATTTTGCTACCTTCACTCAGTAGTTTACAGAGTATATGGATATATACCGTAGTCGGTACTACGTCAAAGTACTCTGTTTGCCGCACTGGAGAAGCCCGCTACGGCGGGTGGACAACGAAGGCGATACTCGCGCGGGCGCAAAAGTGTTTAACTTCATGTCCGGTTCCCGTAGCCGTCCACAAAACCGTCACTGCTAAAAGTCCCTAATTGCGTGGCGTTGCACGGTGAAAACTTGAAAATGGGCAAGGATGTTTGAGGAATAGAAAGAAGGAAATGCGCTTGTGGAGAATGCGAGGATTTCATGAGGTCAGATGGAGCAACTTGTGGCTATTGTGGCTGTTTGCTGACTCGCCATTCTAAAATGGATGCCCGCTACTCCTCTGACTCTGTTGGTAGCACATCGGAAACATTACCGACGTCAAAATATGGACGAAAGTGGGCACGGGTCGAGAGACACAATTACGTTAGTTGGGACAAGATAGTTTTTTGACATAATATTTCGACAGCTGTTTAAAATGATGTAGTTTGATTTAGACTAGTAGCTTTGCTTGTATATATAACTTTTAGGTTTCTATACATTTCGCGTGTTTGGTAACAACTAATTAAAAGTCAACTAACCGACATGGAGTAGTTTTTTCCTTGCCAAAAAAAAAAAACTGTGACCCTCCCCCGGGTGCTTATCAAACGGATTTGACCCTCCCCAATTTGTAAAATATTTACTAATAACCCTCCCCTCCGAAGCCCCGGCCCACCCCCGCTAATAAAAAACGTACCTTCCCTTATACCCAAAGCCCCATAGTAGATGGTCCCCAACAGGGTTCTTCAATCCCACCATCCCGACCGGAATTTTCCCTCATTCCCTCAATCCCTCAATCCCGATGGTTTCTAGCGGCTAATCCCGGTCATTTTTAAGAATTTTTTCATGCTTAGCGTGCGTCTATCGAGTTATAGATGCACGCGGGGAGTTTGGAGAACACGAGAGAAGCGCAAGAGTTGCTCGAGGCGCAGCCGAGAGCAACTCTAGCTTCTTGAGTGCTCTCCAAACTTCCCAAGTGCATCCATAACTCGATAGACGCACAGCAAAAAGCATGAAACAATTCTTTTATAACATACGAAAACAATTTGGGCGCTGAATGACGTTTTT